GCCAGGCGGGGGCCGCAGCCGGGCCGGCGCGCGTGCATCGGCGGGCCGCGGCCCCCGAGTGCGGAGCGCCCGTTGCGGGGAGCCCGTGCCGCGGAGGCGCGGAACCGGGCAGGCCCCGGCGCCCGGCACGACCGCGATGGCTGCAGGCTGCGTGGCCTTCGCCGCCGCGGCTCTCCTCGCAGCGGCGCGCACGGGGGTGCTGCACGGAATGCCCTTCGCGCGGGCCGGGCCCGCCTGGGGCTGCAGCTGCAGAGCACCGGTTCTGGCACGCCTCGCCTCGCCTCGCCTCGCCTCGCCTCGCCGTCGCCCGGAAGGCATGTGGAGATCGGCTCGACGGCGCCTTGCCGGAGATGCCCCGTACGCGCCGCGGCGCGCTTCGATGCGGCTTTCGAACCCGAAAAAGCCCCGCTGCCTGCAGCCCGCACGGCTTCAGAAAACGCTCGTTCCCCCGTTCTGCTGGCAGAGATCCTGTAACGGTCTCGGATCCATCGGTGGGAATCGAGCCATTCGGTTGCTTCAAGCCCGGGGTCTTCCTGCCCATCTGAGGTTTCCTTCCAAAAGTTGCGTCTTCGGGCCTCTGAACGGCTTGGGAAAGACATTCGCCACCAGGCGTCAGCAAAGCGGGGACTGGGAATGGTTCTCTTCTTCTGCAGCACAGAAATAAGAATTGTCTCCAATATTAGGAACTCGGTGGAAGGGCCGTTCTATACCTTTCCAGTCTGAAGGCTCTTAACACGTGTATGCACGCTTCCCCATCATCAGTCTCATGACAACTGTTGAGCGGGCAGGCTCATAGTCTTCCACAGGGTGATAAAACGTACTTGATTCCTTCCTTGTAATTTCTGAATGTGCATCTACAGGTTTGAATGTGTATATCCAAATTTTAGGCAATTGGGAGCCCTCGTTCAGTGCCCATTTTCAATGTTTCATATATGATCACTTGAGGGCAGTTTTCTAAAAGCACTCCAACGCTGTAAGCTGCCCAGAGAACTTTCAGTTATGGGGCAGCATAGCAATGGAATTAAATAAAATGCTGTGATCTATTAGGCCAAGTTTGCTAAATGATAGTTTCTCCTTATATCCTGTCTGAAGTCAAAGATTAATCCACACTTCCCTGTTTTGAACAGGAAACCATGATTTAGCCACCCCAGAAATCTTGCATTCCAATTCCTTTTTTTAAAACAGCTTTGGCAAATTCCAAAGTTTTCCCAAGCCTGTGGGTAGCTCCCTCTTAGGCTGTTTGGGTAATTGAGTACTGATGCTCAGAGAATTGAATTCATTGTTCATTTAGATGGTAATTCATGAGCTAGAGTTGCTCCAAACTATCTTGCTGCCTAAAGCAAGGGATAAGATGGTATTCCTTCCCCATCTTATTCACAGAATCCAGCGAGACTAGAATTTTACTGGAACACAGGTAATGAGAGGCCTATTCTGATGCAAATGTGAAGGCCAAGAAAAGCCTAAGAAAAATTTGGGCAGGGGAAGGGTGTTTTGGCTTTTTTCTGGAGACTTTCCCCCAAACCCCCAATTAAACAATTCTGGATTATGAAATATTTTCACTTTGAAAGAAAATACTTAAGGTTTTAATATATTTCTACCCACCCTATATTCTTCCAAAATATTTCTGAAAACCATTTAATAGGAAGTCTTATGGGATGACCAGATGTGCAACTTTTCTGGAAATTTTGAAGCACTTTCATCTCTGTGCATGATTTCCAATGTCGTCGTTCCATTAAATTATTTGATTAAAAATAATCAAATATCTTTTTCTAATATAGTGTTTACTAATATTTACACGGATTTCAAGTCATGCTCAGTTTCCCAGCATATGACTAGTGCCATTATACTGCAGTTTGCGAAGAAAATAGGCATTCTTCCCGTCAGTCTGACGGTGCAACAACCCCTCATATAATCCCACGGACAGGACGAGAAGCCCCAGCTGGGCAGCAGGCACTGCTGGAATTCCCCTCAGGAATTACCACCTCAGGAACCATCTGCAATGTAATTATCTCCGAAGGCAGAATGGAAACCAGTTTGGAAGAGCGAGCCAGGATCTCAAAACCGTGCAATAAGGATCCCGTTGGGAGATGAATGGGTACATCTACAGGTATCTTCCCAGTACGCCACTGCGCCTAGTCACCTGTGTACATTCTGTCTGTTCCCGCTGATTCTGCAACTCCATGGCAAAACAAGAGGAAGGTCCACTAACCAAGCTGCCTGTTCTTTCCATTGTTTGCTTTTCGCTTGACTTGGGAGAGGTTTGCAAAACACGTGAGGATCTTTTCTTGAAATAACCTACTTGTTGGTCAACTGGAAACAGTAAAAGGAGCTTGACTTTTATGCTCTGTGCGAAGGTCAAGCGGATGAAATATAATAAAATGTGAGTTGGTGCAAAGAAGACAACGCAGGCAGTACACTTGTAAGAGTCCCTAAGTTTATTTTTCGCCTTTCATAGGAGGCTTGTGCAACAGGCTTTTAAGTCATTCCTCAGAATCGAGTCTTTCTGACTCAAGTCATCATCAGACCATCAAGTTCAAAATATGAAAATGCAAAAACAGAAATATACAAAGAACTACACAAATTGTGTTCCAAGGAGACCATGCTGGCCTCACAAATGCTATGTGCTAGCTTGCTTGAATTAAAACTGGGGAAAAAATATACAAGTATGACCAGATAAATTTAGACGTTAGAAACTCTGAATTTCAAAAACCATTTTAGAAGATACAAAAATTGTCAAACTGAGATGGCCCTTTTTCATTTCTACACTGTTTTTGGTCTGCTAATAGCCTAGAAATAATTGTGTTGGGACTTAACTCATGTTTTAGGAGCATATACTTATTCCATTTCATGTCACACACTGTTGGGGCTGGCTATCAAACCTTGCTAGTTAAGGTGTGATGGGAGAATGCTGCAGTTGAGAAGAACAGCCCGAGTCGGCCATTTCTGTCCATGGGCAGAAGCAACTGCTTTTAACCATTCTGAATGCCCCTGAATATTGGATCTTTTAGACTGGCCAATCTATAAATATTAGCAGGGAAATGCAAATCTTACGGTTGTTCAGTTCAGGCGATTAAACCAGTAGCAACACATGGTTATTCGGTCCCACAGAAACCCCTTCTGCTGGTGGCAAATAGGACTGCGCATCAGGAAACCCTCCAGCGCCACTGCATGACTCAAGGGCCCCCAGTTATGCCCCCCCACTGCCCCTCACAGGCTGAGTGGTTTAAGCAAATCACCTGTAACGCCTTTTGAAAAGGTAATGGAGCCACCTAAGTAACTGAGCTGCTGTTAAACGACGCTACTGTGAGCTACCTGAATCATGACCAAGAGTTCCGAAAAGCATTCCCAAGGACAAACGAAGCTTTGCCTGAAAATAAATGAAAAAGGAATAGGAAGGGGGAGGAAGAGAGTGCCTGAGCTGCTTTCTCCTTTACCTGAACCACCCACATCGGCCCTTTTCAACCGGCAAGTCTATTTACAACGTTCCAGCTGAAAGCTGTCCCCAAGCATGCCTGTTCTGAAGACTCTCTCCCTCATGCAGACAAACACACACAGGCTCAATTTACTCCTCTTCACTCAGGAGGAAGCTAATTCTGAAATCTACCATAAAATATTTCTGTAAACATTATATCATGTTAATATATTGTATTTTTAAAGCATTCGTTTTTGTAAACCTTCCAGAGAGCTTTGGCTATTAGGCAATGCAGAAATACAATGAATGGAAATGAATGCTTTGAAGTGGGCTCCATTTGTTTTAAAAATAGCAAGGCTATTCCAGATGAAGATTATTAAACGGGAAAATCGGAGGTCCCCGCGTCCCTTTGCTTAGTCCTGAAAAGTCCTGTTAGGGACACGTGTGGCCACCTGGAAGTGTAAACCACCCATCCAGTCCGTTTTATTGCACTGTATTGTAGAGATAAAATATATAATGAACAGGATTTCCAGGTTCTTTGAAGGAAATGTAAAAAACAAGCTTTATCATGATTTGTCATTTATTATCAGCAACAATAGCATTTCTGCAAGGCCAAGAGAACATGATTTGCACGTTAGAGTATCAGTGATTTCAGAACTACATTTTCAAATTTTAAAACGTGTCAAATTAGCAGGGAAATGCTCCATCTTTCCCTGCAGACCATGTATTCAGGGCCCCCCCCCCCCCCCCCCACCATCCTTCACTTGAATCCCTCCTTGCTCTCTGTGGTTTTGGGACAAAACCTGTGAACTGTGCAAGCGAGTCTCCACAAGCAATACTTAACTCTTGCCTGCCCGTGGGCATGAAGGCCTTTGAGGACTGACTGCATGTTCAGCCGAGTGGCGTCCCTTCAAAGAAGTGCTCCCTGTGTGACAGGCACCCATGTCGAAACAGCTCAGCTTAGCGTACCCCTCTCTGCAATGCCTTTCCAATTCTCTGCCGCGCCCCTTCTGGGTTTCCTTGGGCCGCTGCTCAAGTGGCAACAGCACCTAACCTTCCGGCCAGTGAGGCGCACGGGTTCTTCCGTCCAGAATCTGCCTGCAGATGGGCTTTTCTGGAGGGCACCCTCTTCCCGCGCCACGGAGGCCCAGCATCTGGCCTCTGCTGCCTGCCCAGCCCTTTCTGCCCTGGGGGAGCAGGAGCTCCAAGTTCACAGCTGGACGTCCACTCGGTGCACAGCAGTGCTTCCTGCTGCCACGGCTTTGCTAGGCCGGGTCGCCAGCCAGGCTCTGCGACACCGATCCAGAGAGTATGGGTGCAACTCTACCATATGCTATCCCAGGGCCCCAAAACTCATCTGTTGTTGATGAGCATCGGTGTGATGCAGCGCTGGCCTGCATGCTCCTCTCGCTGCAGCTTGCTGCTCTCCGGCTGCACCTGCCTGCTGGACACAGATGGCTCCCGGGCATTAGAAGTGCTTGAACTTATGCTGCTAGTCCTCAAGCCCTGATTGCTTCCAGAGCTGAATGGGTGGATGGTGCTGGCCTGTGTCTCATGACCTTCACACAACAGGTCCTGAAGGGCTTCATACTCTGCATCAGAGAGAGGGAATGTGCGGGGCTCCCATGGCTGGACGTTCTAAAACACAGAGAAGAGACAGTTTTACTTACCGATTTCTACCCCACCTTTTAAACCAAAAATAGACTCAGGGCAGCCTAGTTTCTCCCTGAATTATTTTACATAAATAAGCAGTGCAGGCTTCCAGTTACTGGATCTAGTTTATATCATAGATCAGAGCAGAGGGCAGCAAGGTGCCTTGTGAAGATTTTAGCTCAACACAATTAAATAACAACCACTCCATTTATCTCGTTCCCCAGGCTCATTAATACGTTTCAATTTTTGTTTTAGAAAAATAAGAGACCTTCCACAGTGAGCCGGTGTGTTTAAGTTCCTGCTGGCGAGGCTGACCGTAATCTGGACCCAAAAGCCTGCTTGCTGCAAGCCACCAAAAGCGCAACAGGTGGCCGCATCCACCACGCACGTATCTCAGGACATCCACAGTCTCCATGCGGAAGGAGTATGGAGGCCAAGCAAAATGTGTGATTAGTAACTCTGGTCTGATGGCAAACCAAAGGGAGCATGTAACCAATTCCATTCTGCAGTTGGCTATTCTGGTTTAGCAGCCCTTTGCTAACTGTTTGCGACTGAAAGCTAAAGGTACAAAGCTAAAGACCATCTGGAAGAGGCCATCTTCACCTGGAGATCATCATCCATATCCAAGAAGGAGAAACCGGTGTCTTCACTGAAGGACAGGCCCCCTCTGCTTCTGCTCCTTATCAGGTGGGGTGCTGGGGCACTGGAAAGCTCTGGGCTGAGAGACCCTGCCGGAGAGCTTGCGCACTGGGACTGGCTGAGGTTCTGCGATGCCACATCTGGAGATCCCGGCGGAGGCATCCATCGGCCATCTGGCTTGTTTGCGCTCCTGAAATAAGAATGCGCCACCCGTGAAAACTTGCATGTGAGAAATGAGGTAGACCAAAAGCAGCACTGCGACAGTCCGAGTGAGGGGAGAGGCACTTGGTGTGACCACGGAGCCCAGCCTCACGACGCGTCCTTGTGCACTCTTTAGAGAAGGGGAGTGTTCCCCCCAGCTCCTCACTGAAGGCTCGTGAACAGCTGCCTGAAAGCACCTCCCTAGGGAATTCAGCCTCAGGAGGGAGTTTTTTTCCAGGGATTATCAAGAAGGGATTAATGCAGAAAAGATACCTCTACGAAAGGGGAATTCTGCATCCCTGAAACAGGGTGGAGAGGCTGCGGAGTCCCGACTGTCCCATTTGACCGCCATTCTATCCCAGTGCTTGCGTGCCCTCGGAGGACAACGGAGCGATGCTCACACCAAAGAGCTGATGTGAGAGGAACTCTGGGGGGCTCCCTACCTTTGGGGGTGACATTCAGTTTAGAACGGCTGTGCACCCTGCAGTGCCCTTATGCTACGCCGTGACTCTGTGCTTCGCAACTCTCTCCTGTGTCCGTGGGACCCAAGTTCTCAAAATGCCTAGTCTCAAAATCTCCCCAGCAGAAGCACCTCAGACTAAACTACTGAATCTTGGACAAAAGCTCCATCATTCCTATTTGAAAACATGCCAATGCAGTGCAAGGGGACCATCACGAGTATCCAGACATCTGGGTGGAATACAACTGGCTTGAGGATTATTCCGCAACACGGAGCTTCCAGGAAACGGATACCTGTTTCCTCGCTTATGTGAAACGCCTCCAGTCCAGGAATCCCAGCGGGCCCGTTCCACCTCCTCATATTTTTGGTGATGGTTCAGGTATGCCTCGTCAGATGTATCTTCCAGCTAGGACCAGAGAGTGACACATTTGAAAACTAAGAAACTGGTTAAAAAGCAGAAAGCAGAGAGGAGGGCTGGATGAGAATATAAACAGTGGAGCCCAGGGTTCCGTATTCGAACTAATCGTCTTCTACCTATTCCTAAATGATCTGGAATTAGGAGCAAGCAGTGAAGTGGCCCAGTTCACTGGTCTCATCTAACTATTAAGGGTGATTGATTGATTAATTAATTAATTAAGGCTTGTGAGACGCTTCAAAGGGGACTCACAAATGGGCACTGAAAGGGCAGGTGTGGCTCAGTGTAGGCAGGTATCAAGCGATGTGCAGCCCATGAGCCAGTGGTGACTGAACGAGAGCTTGATCTCATCCTGGACAGCTCAATAAGAGAATCAACCTACTGCGAAAAAAGAGAATTCCATACTGGGCATAATTAGAAAAGGAACTGAAAATAATAGGACCAAAGCCATGCTGTGAACACACTTGAAACACTGTGTACACTTCTGGTCACTGCACTGAAAAAATGTGTAGAAAACGGCAACAAAACAATCCAGGGGCTGAAGTAACTCCCCTATGAAGAAAGTTGCAGCATTAGGAATTGCTCTGCTTAGAAAAGAGAGTGAGAGGAGACGCATCCAAATATACAAAACAACGCACGGGGAGGAGAAACGGGAAGGGGGTGGGGATGTATTTTCCTCCTCTCTTACAAAAGTGACTGATGGGAGACGGTGGACGAACGCAAGGAAGTCCTTCACACAGCAGAGAAAAACTACGGAATTGGCTGCCAGGGGATGTCCGTGATGGGCACCAAGCTCAAGGGCTCTGAAGGGGATGGGGAGGACGCACGAAGGAAGAGAAGGCTACAAGGGCTCCGTGCTGCCACCAGGACCAGAGGAAGGGTGCCTGCACCCACCAGTTTCTGGGGGTCGGGGGCTGTTGTTCTTGTGGCTTTCCCACGGACAGCTCGCTAGCCACTGTGTGAGTGGGAACACTGGCCTGGACGGTCTGGCTCTGACACGGCACGGCTTGTGCCAGGGTCTCCTGCGATTCACAGAAGTTTACAGGCACCCGGGGAGGGGGCCGTTTTTCTTTTCTGAGGCCGGAGAAGCACTACCATGTAATCTACACAGGCGAAATGCATTGTTATGAAATCACTACAGGATTTCCACTCCTGCCAAGCCCTTGAATTGCTGGGTCAATGAAAATAAGCAAGCAGGCAGAAAGAGCTGCTCAGACCAGGGCTGCACCACGCACTCCTGCAGCGGGGCTCGTTGCTCGCCACCCCCGGTACGATCCTGGGACAGAAGGACGTCTCCCCACCACGGCGGCCACGAGGAGCGTGCGACCTGTTTTAACATCAGGGGAGGGAGAGGCAGGAGCTGCCAGGGATCTCCACACCGCGCCCGCTCGAGGCACGAGACGGCACACGGCCCGCCTGCTCCTTACCTCGGAGTCTGCCTCGACCATCTTCAGTTCTTTGGGATCCACCATTCTCCAGCTGCAAAACAAGCACAAACTCCAGGTTGGGGCCAGCCGACACATGCTGCTTGACTGACTGCGTCCACCGAGATGCCCAGATCCTGGTCGCGCAAGGCACGCCTGTTCGCAACTGGGCCTGCTAAGTCTCAACTGCTGACAGGCGAGGCTCAGTCCTGCAACTTCTGATGAGAAAGGGGTGGCTGGGGGGGGGCAGCCTTTGGGAGGAGAAGGGGCAGCAGACGTCCCTCCTCCGCAGCTTCTCCTCTTCCTGCCACAGTGGCTGGGGGAGAAAGGAGAAGCTCCTGCCCCAGAGCTGGAGACAAAGCCGCTTAGCCTGTGTCCGCACCGATGAGCTGTGCTGATCTCGGAGCCGCTCTCAGGCATGAAGCCGAGTCACAATCCGCACTCCAGGTTGCAAACTGGAGCGGTCTTTTTCTAATGAGTTCTCTTTATCTTTTCTGTCATGTGCCTTATCCCGACAGCTTCAGCTATAAAAGGAAGTGAATAGGAGGCAGAAGCTGGCGATGGCTCCCAAGGTCAGAAACAAACTGAGCTCCAGGCTGCGTCTGAACTGTGGGGCTGGGAAAGGGTGCCTTTTGTTTCACGTTCGGAGGAAGCTTCGGCTCCGTTCAGAAGCCAGAGCCTGAACCCCCCTCTCTGCAGGGCAAAGATGACGAGCCAGGTCACTGAACTCTGCCCCCCGCACCCCCATGCAAGCATTCTTCAACCACCGCGGAGGTTAGGCGCCTACGGTACAGCTGCAACATGGAATGCTAGAAAGCACCGAGACTTTGCAGTAGCTGATGAGACGTTCCGTCCAGCTAGAGTGGCCCGTTTTGGTCAGAGACAAGGGCGGGGCTCTATTAAGAGCATCATCGGCCTGTCCCACCACAAGGACAGAAAGGGAAGGGCAGGTCCCACGGCTCCCCGCTGGCCTGTCGCAGCACATTCCAGGCATGCCCCTCCGGCACGTTCGAGCCTTTCGTGGCTGCAGCGCAGGTCAGAAACAGCCACTAAGCCCGAGAGCTGCAAGGCCATTTGGGGCGGGGCGCATGCCGGCATGACGCACCAACCAGGGCCCCCCAGGCACAGCGAAGGCTATGCCTCCGAAGCCCTGCCTGCCGAACACTAGGGCATCTGGCACATCTTGCCACATCTTTCGTCCTGCCCAAGGACAAGGGGGATCCTCTGATGTGGTAGGTGCTTGCATTTTCTCGGGAAAGACAACGTTCTCGTGCATAAACAGACAGATCCAGCTGCTGTGCAAACTCACTAAAAGCTTTCAAATGCCCGCACCTTGGCGTCAAAATCTCTTTGTACTGCAACTTCTCCACCCGTGTGGCTGCAGCCATTGACATTGGGATGACGATGTTGTTGATGTCGTAGGAACATTCCACTCTTTTCTTCTTTGCCGGCTGCAGAGACCAGGGAGGAATCATTAAAAATAAGGCAGGAACCTGGAAGCAAACCAGGTCAAGTTCCCTATTTAGCCAATGTCACCTAATCCCAGGCACTGGTTTAGGAAATAACATGCCCTGGGCGAGTTCCAAGAACTTCTGCACCAGCATCTCATCATGTTGCGAAGCTGGGCTGGGTGACTGCAAATGCCGTGGCTGCACAGCACTGACGGTCTCTGCTGAGAGGCTCCCGCGGCGTCTTTCAAGGAAAGACTGGACAACCACCCGCTGGGGAGGACCTGAGCAGAGGCAGCTGGAGCGGGGGGCGGGGTCAGACTAGATGGCCCTGGAGACTCCTCCTGACTCGCTCTGGGTCCATGTTTCTGCCTCCTGTCATTGCCCCGTTTCCTGCATTCATGCATCAATCATGCCATTATTTCTAGCATGGCCACGTTCACTGTGTCGAGTGTATCAATGGAAAGGGGAGGTAAAAATCTTGCGACGACAAAAGGCCACCAGGCATTGCATGAGGTTTTGTGGCACCCAGGAAAGCAACCATGTCCAGGTGAGATCAAGGACAAAGTTGCCGACGCAGACGCGCGAAAAAGCGTCTTGCCCAGCTGGCACCCACAACGCTGTGCTCCTGAGGAAGGATATCAAAGTCATTTCAACCGGATGGACACGTGCAGCTTCACATCGACATGATCCTAGCACCCATGCAGTGCACAAAGCATCTTAAATACGGCTTTTGAACAGTACACTAGAGAAAAGTGTAAGGATGTAAAACAAGCGCAAGGAAGCGAATTTAGATAAAACAAGGCCTAAGACAAAGAAGTTGGGAGACATGGGAATAGTCGTTCCACCCACGAAAAAGATTGGAGAGGGACAAGACGGGTCTCCACTGCCTCGCCTCGCCTGCACATTCTTATTCAGTCCTCAGAAGTTGCTTTCAAAGGTATATCCAGCTACTCCTGTCGGCTTATGTAACGATCTGAAGATCTAAAAGTAATATTCTTAGAAGCAAACACCGAAGTTCTACAAGGTGATGTTTTTGAAAGAACGAAGCAAATTAGTTAGGAGCCAGTTCAAGACAATGGCATATCCTTTAAAAATGGGCTTGCATGACCCAAACAAGCCTCACTTGGCAGGAATGTGGGAGGGACACAAGTTCAAGGGAGGCCACGCAGCAACGCTAAATCGTGCCTTATCCCCCCCCGCCGTTCTGTTTGCCGGAGGACCCTGCTCCCACTCACCAACGCGGAGCTGCCGGCAGCCGTGGAATTGCCAGCGGCCTGGCTGGAGTGCGTGGAGGGAGCATTTTCTAGGCACAGGGATGGCACGTGATGCAAGGAGTTGGGCTTGTGGGTCTGAAGGCTAGGAACAAGCGAGCTCGGACTGGCCGGCCCTTTCACCGGAGAACCTGGCAAAGGAATAGGTGATTAGAGGAACCCGAATGAAATCCAGCATATTGAGACTGAGTCACAACTATTCTGTGCCCGCCCATCAGGAATGACAGATAATCGGACTCTAATTCTGCAACCTCGGCTCAACCACCAAACAGCGGAGGGGAGTTCATTTTCTGGCATGTTTTTTGGAAATAGCCTATTTTTGCAGCAATTACTCCTGCGATCATCACACAGGGTGCATTGCGTGTGTGACCACTTGCTCCACTTCTGAGTCTCTCAAAAGCTGTCACTGACCAGGACTGCTGAAGGGATAGTCACCGTTGCCTCCTGCCCGATGATCAATCTCCCTGGGAGGAGCTGGGGCTGGCAATGTGCTCAGGGGCACCATTAGCTGCTGCTGACTGAGCCAGGCACCCCTGCTTAGCAGCTTCTGCCTCCTGTCCAAGAGGTCTGCCCTCAGGCAGGAGCGGGGGGCAAATCTACTCCACCTCACTGCCAGAGCAGGCAGCACCATCAAGTGGAGCACAGGTGGCCCACCTGGGTGGCAAGCACCGCAGGGCATCCCGCGGACACCGCGGGGTGGTCTGCTGGAAGTAACCAGTCACCCCGTTGAAGCAGCCCGCTTGCACAACACAACAACCCATCAACAGTGACAAACACGTGTGGGGCGCCATGTTAAGAACGTAAGAAAAGCCACGATCGCTCAGACCAAAGGTCCATCTAGGCCAGTCCATGTTGTCCAGACCAGGTCGAGACACCCATCACTGTCAGGCTCTGTTGCAGAATGTCTGGAGACAACGGGACGGACACGGGGAGAGAGGCTGGACTGGATGGCCCTTTGAATTGTCCGCTACCACAAAGCAAAGCTCTTATACAGAACAACTCCCACCCACCCCTGCACCAAAGAGGAAGTGGCACCATTAATGGGACCTTGACCCAAGAGCTTATTGCCTTGGATTAAAGTCTCTGATATGATTTACCAGATGCAGAGAGAGAAGGTGAGCAGATGTTATTGGTAAGGTCTTTCAACCCCCAGTGCGGTTTCTTCAGAGACTTAAGTTTTTGGTTTAGCTTGTGATCCTCTCTTAGCAAGGCTTCAACATGTAAATGAAGAGGGTTGCCTATCAATAGAAAAAACAGTAAGCTGCCTTGAAACACTATTTGACAGATACACACATTAACATTTCCTGTTCACGTTTATATTATGTCTTTTCCACACCACACCTAAGCCAGCTAGGAACAGTAAGGAGACCCAGACTGACTGCAAGCGAAAAGGCTCGCACGAACGCCTTCTGTGGAGGGCGTCCGCGTTTCCACACCGGGAGGGAAGCACATCCGTTCCATCCCTTCAGCGGCGTTTTCCAGGCAGGCAAGGGAGGAGGCTGCTCGCTGCTCCAAGCGGGCCCCGGGAGGGTGACCAGCACTCCACCCACACGTGGACCTTTCCCAAGGAGGGGGGGCCGGCTGGGTGCCGCTGCAGGAGCATCTCCAAGCATCCCTCCCCACACCTTCTTATGCTTAGCAAGGTTCTATGGTAAAGGGCCAGTGGGGGGTGCATGTGGCAACTGATGCGCCTTAATTCTACTTCTACGGCAAAGGCAATGCAAAGCATCAGGTTAGGAGAAGCCAACTACACGAACTGATCGACGTGCTGCGGCCTGCTATTCATTGTCGGGACGAAGGTTCCCTTGGTGTGCACAGCAGCATTCGGCACCTTACAAACCAGGGATCTCCGCGGCTCAAAGGAGCCCTCCCTCTGTGAACGTGCCCAGAGACCCTTTCTCCCTGTAAGAGCAAATGGGGCTTCCTCAACTGTGGCAGGACTGAGAAACCTGGTGCGAAGAATCACCATGGAAGGATTCTAGTTTCTCCGTGGCAAACATGCTTGCTCCCGTGAGCCAAAGGAGGAGAAACCACTTCACAAGGCAGGGTTTCCACGTCACACAGAGACTCTGTAGCTTCACTCACCATGGGAAAGTGAGAGTATGGGGTGAAAGCTAGGGTCCAGCAGGGCCACCCGCTCCTCTAAAGACATTGTCTTGGGGTCGATGGTCTGAACAGAAGCCTTACAGCCACACAAGATGCAGGACCTGGGCTGCTCACAGCTGCACTTCATGCTGAGGGGCTTCTGTGGCTAGAAGAAGCAGGCGAAGACATGGTTACGGACATGCAGGAATTCACCGTTTCAGACCTAAAGATGACTGCAAGCAACATGATTCAATGGCCCAAAGCTGCACCGGCGGGCAGGGAGGAATGCATTCTGCTGGTGGAACAAAGGTCACTCGGTTTCTACTGATTCTCATGATGGGAGTGCAAACACGGAGCGGAGAAACTGTGCTTTATCACTCTCTGTTTACAATTTGAGCCTTTGTCAAAGTGGCAGCACCCACACAAAGGAGGAAGGTATGAGTGACCTGAACTGAGGAAAACCGCCGTTGTGGAGGGGGGAATAGAACAGCTGGAAACAGAGAGAATGATCGATCTCTTTATCTGGACAGGTCATTTTTGGGTTAGTGTAAAGCTATCTCAAAATGACTGTGGAAACAGAAGTGAGAGCTCATGGGTATCAGTGGAGTCATCCAAGGGTTTACTTTAACTACGAAGTGAATTTTCTGGAAAAAATCTGACTTGGAAAACTTTCCAGTACAAATTTCCTTTGCCTAGGGCTATTTGCATAGGATTTTTTCCTGTTTGCAATGGAAACTGTCCTGATGCCCTAAAACAGGCATAAGCAACCTGTGGTCTCTAACTCCCATTATGCCTCTCCACTGGTGAGGCGGCTTTAGTGGAGAATTTTCCATCCCACATCACTAAGACTACATCTATGGTCCAGTCCATGGTCCTGTTGTAGTAGTAAGACTTCAAAATTTAAATGGAGCCACATCACTGAATGCAAACGTGACCTCTCCGCGTTACCCCACTCAAAGTTCCCACTAGGAATGGAGGAAACGCCCCTCAAAACTGAGGAGTGGATGTTTTTGCTGTGGTGGGAGGAAAACCATTTGGAGAGATGGCGGGCAGCAGCTGGGCCTCATTTGTACAGCTTACTTCCCCGTGCTTTTGAACACTTTTTGGCACGACACCCAGCAGTACCGGCATGCCTAGAGTCAGGAAGAACAAATTCAAGCACCTGTTCAGTCACAAAGACATCAAGGGGGTTTTGGTCAGTCACCTTTACTCTCAGCCTGGTCTACCCAACAGGGTTACAGGGAAGAGAAAGGGGGTGTGAGGTGCAAGACGCCACACATGACGAGGGGATACAAATCATATCGCTTTACTATCTTACTGACTTTTGATGCCAGCAGCACAGAGGCCACACCCAGCGTCCGAGACGCCGGCGGCCACACTGCAGGGAGGCTGGGGAGGAAGGCAAAAGGGGCAGAGCCGGAAGGAAAGAGCCCACTTCTGCAGCACCAGGATATTTCAGCTTCCAAGTTCTTCCTGCTAGTAACTAAGTCTCGGGGGAGGCATTTTATCTTTGGAGATGAGAGAACTGTGCAAAAGTTGGGAAACCATCAAAACGTTGGTGGTTGGGAGAAAGGGGTCCCCAGAACACCAGACTGGGAACCCCAAGGGGATATAAATGATCTCTGGGCCTTAAGCTTATTCTTTAATTTTATTTCAGTAATATCCAATAGCCAAAGCTCCCTATGTCGGGTCCAACAGTTCATAAAATATACAACAAAATAGAATATACAATATAAGCAACAGAAAAATTATACAATTTCACTAGTGTTAAAACCAAACTTGAATGACTCACCTACTTCTTCAGCGGTTTTGAGTTTGTACAGTTTATATTAAATGGCTTCAATTATAGGAACCTCTGGCAGGTTCTGCTGTATAGGACACTTTTTTAACCGCTAACATACGTTGATAAGCATGATGACCTAATCCTATATACTTGGTTGGGGAAGGGCCTTACCTGCAGCACGGAAGAGCATTTTGGGCCATGTACCTGAAATGTCCAGTCACACCCACAAAACCCAAAGCAAAAGACCAAACAGGACTGCTAACGTGGGCTGGCAATCTGGCTGAAAGCACAGGCAGCAGCTGCACGAGGCGCTGGGGGCAGGGAGCCTCATAAGTGCAGCTGGGTGGTTCAGCAGGGCACCCACGACGTGTGCGGGACGCACAGCGCTCCCAGTTTCCGGAACAGCCACGGCCACTTCTACCGTGTCTCGGCTCAGTGGTGACGCCAAGAGCCTACAGGCAGCCGGGACGGACGGTGCTTTTGAAAGTTAGTGCTTTCAAGTAGCCTGGCAACTCATGGATCGTCGAACCGGGAGCTGCCACTGTATGTGAACTCAGTCAATCCGAGGCAGCGTCATACATGCAAAACTGTTGACATGCGAAATCTGCATGGGAGAACTGAGGAGAAAGGGCTGCAAGTACTGGAAGTGGCCCTTAACCCAGGTGAGCTACAAAGTGAAGTTTTCCTGGACCAGCTTCTAAATCCCCTATTTAAAGGTGCCAGGTGTTCCTACAGGTGAAATCATTCAATATAAACTGAACAAACTAAAACAGCTCAAGAAGCAAGTGATGCCACACAGAGCCCCGTAATCATGTTCTTGGTGAGGAATACTGTTTATTTCAGCTTCTACTGCTGAAGAGGTTCCTCAGACATTCAACAGGACAGCATTCCTCCCAAGGAATTCCAAAAAATCAGAAATCTGGCTTGACTTTTTACAAGCCTAAACTAAAATGGAACAGAGCTGTCACTGTTCAATTGCTCCCACCCGGCAGAATTTGCCCTCCCTTCTTTTCAGCATTAAGGACTAATATCACAAAACTGTTTTCCCAGCCGTAACTGCAAAGGAGACATCTCACACCTACCTTTCTACCAAGGTGAGAGACTGCATTAACTCTCACCAGCCTCCGCTTCCTGTATCTGCAAATTGGACGGATTCTCGCAGCAACGCAGCTGTTGTCAAGGGCAGACGGTGCAACGGGCAGGCTGCTGTTCAGGTGCTTCGGTTTCTTGAGAAGCCGGTCAGCATCCACACCATCCTGGGAGTTGCTGGTGGAGCATGTGTTGAAACTGTGGCCAAAACAAAAAACACCCACAGTGAGAAATGCTCTGAAAGGAATACAACACTCACTCACTATTGTAATTTGGTAGATTTTCTCGTCACACACATTTCTGGATAGTTTTGCTCCTTATTTGTCAAAGCCCACCTATCCGGTTTCACTGCTAGTAGTGATCACATTTTATACAACCCTAACATCAGCTATACTAACCTAATCAGAATGAGCAAAGTCTGAGTAAGCCCTTGTTTTGAACAGAGTTGTGGTAGATACGATTTGCACTCGCTCTGCTCTGGTATACCCAGAAAAACCCTGACAACACAGCTTTTCAGAGTCGCAACAGCGGGACAATTGTAAGCACGCGTGCCCTGCAAACAGCACTGTGGGTTTCTCAGAGCTTCCCAATGTCTTAAATTGACTGGGAGTCTGAGTGTGTTTGTATTACCTATATTTAGCTTTAAAAGCCTTCCATATTACCTTAATGTGCTGCACGTGTTTCTTTCATCAATAAATATTTAGTTGAAGTGTGATCATTGTTATTATTACATTTATATCCTTCCCCTTTTCTTCTTGTGAGGGACTCGAAGAGGCTTATGTGATCCCCCATTATCCATTCTATCCTCACACAAACCCTAAGAGGGAGGTCGGGCTGAGAGTCAGTGGCTGGCCCAAAGATACCCTATCTATCTACCTACCTACCTACCTACCTACCTACCTACCTACCTACCTATCTTTTAGATGGCATCCTTTATGTACGTCATCTCAGGATGGCTTACAATTGAACTTCATGGCTGAGGGGTCTAGAACCTGAATTTCTTGGATCTCCGGTCCAATGCTGTAACTGCCACACGCCACTGGCACACTGATGGAGAGTATAGTGCATTGAACATGGTTTAAATGTTCTATTTCCCCCAAATGCAAGCTTTACTTGGGAATTCCTTTTATTGGAAGAGTCAGTCATATTTTAACTAGGGTTGTAAAGGTAGTGGGGGGAAGGAACATTTTGGAAAGAAAACTTTTATGTGAAAAATTGGGAAAACTTTAAAAATGGATTACAGAATATTTACTTTCAGAACATACATATATTCCTCCAAAATGTTTTTTTTTTTTTACAAATGATGTAACAGATGTTTATGTAAGACTACGCATGGTATCAGATCATTACAATTATTTTGCACTGAAGAAAAGCAAGTCTTTGGTTGTAAACTGAGGACTTGACTATCCAAACACCAGAGCAAGCTGCATTTCCGCCCTTCAGGGGCACTGTAATGATCACAGGAGAAGGACGGCTTCAGTTTCTTCTTTGCTTGTGGGCTTCCCCTTATTGGTGTGGTTGGGAATCTGTTTTTGCCCGCTCACCAGGCCTCAAAGGACTGGAAAAAAGCGCACAACTGCAAGAAGTAGGTGGAGTACAGTCATGCTGTTACCATTCAATTCATGCTGCTGCAAATCTGTTGGATTAAAGATTCAAAGTTGGAAACTTAAGCTACGACAGCACTGCTCCTGCATTTGGCTGGTTTACCAAACAAGTGACACACTTAGTGCTTCAGATGCTGCAGAATCTGCAGGGATCTGGTCAGAAACGAAGCCTGTGATTCTGCCAAAGAAATCCCTCCTACAGCACGTGTGCAAGACCTCTGCACTGCACGGCCTCTCTGGCTCCCTTCCTGTTTCGGACCCCTCCATCTTCAGCAGCATGTGAAAGAAACTGGTCTGTGTTTGGAAGTAAGTCAAACTACGAAATAGCCTGAGGTGTGAAAAGGTGGAGAAGATTGTTGCAATCCAGGCAAAGCTCTAGTTTTTAGAAAGCCGCGGTAACGATAATGAAGTGGTTGTTCTTGAGAGAGAGGCAAAAGTAGCAGAATGGCAGTGGTAACTCAGAAAACAAGACTCATTCAGTTCCATGGGTATTCACTGAGGGTTGAGTCCAACTCCAGTCCCTTTCTTTCCTCAGTTCTTTTTATGGGAATAAATGCTTTATGTCTGCCTGTGGTGGGAGATGACAGGGTTTTCCTTGTTTTCCTAACGTTTGATTATTTCCTCCTCCTCATAAACTGGTAAAACCAAAGATGGTCCTTGCAGTTCAGGGGACACGGGGACACACACACACACACACACACACAGAAGGAATAAAAATATTAAAAAGTAAATTCAGTTTTTAAGTATTGTGCGATTAAACTGTTTTCTTTCATATGCTAAGCATGATAATTTTATGCCAAACCAAGTTATACATAATACACTTAATGTTCTTAAATTAACAAAGCAACTTTCAAGCTGAAAAGACAACTATAATATTGCTATTTTTATTTCTATTTTTTAAAAATATGTTTGTTTTCCCCCAGAAAAAAAACAACAATGGCAAAAACATCCCCCCTTGCATGGCTTCAAACTTTCTGGAATTGATACACCTTTATACTTAAGTAGACCCACTGAAATCAATGAGACTTAAAGTGATAATGTCAATGAGTCTTTGTATGATCAGGTTTATAGTCAACAATTTTAAAAACTTTCATCTATGAAACACTGCAATGACTCTTTAATAAAGGTTTGTCCAGGCCAGCTGACTGCTAACAGTGGAATAAAGCTAACACTAGTTTTTAATGTATGTTTTGGCAAAGTTCAATAGGTTGCTTTTTGGGAAGAGTTCATTATACAAATAAATTTTTCACTGGAACAGTCTTTAATAGTCACTGATATACATGCCCTTTCAAATAATTTACCTGCCTCATGAAAATTAATAAAAGGAAGGAGAAACTGTTTTTACTTTTTTGACCGAAAGACTGTTAGTACAAAAATGAAAGGATAAATACTGATTTCCTATGAACCGAGGGCTTACCTACACTTCTGATATATGAATAGGTGACACACAGACCCCAAATTCAAATAGATATTTATCTGGATATCCAATCTGCTTTTGTTGAAACCAATGTATGGTTTCTAGAAAAGGGAGAGAGAACATTAAAAACTAGGTGCACATGAGTTCTGCACTGGAAACTCTGTGCCAAGCAACCAGCCCATTATTTTGACTAATACAGAAGGAAAAAGTTTTCTGGAAAAAATCCATTCCACATAACTGCCTTCAGGGCTTAAAGCTCCATTATAATGTCTGAAGAAAATCCAGCTGAATTCTGAACAGTGCTTATGCATATTCCTATTTCATGACTTGAGGAATTTTCCATGGAATCATGAGGCTTGCAACAACTTCCTCACAGACCCCGGGCAGGAGGTTTGAAAGAGTAAGCCCCTATATGCAGCCACAGGGCCCTACACAGGTGTCCCTTCTTCCTCTGGAAATATTAAGTGAGCTTTGTAAGTACATGCAGTGAGGGGAGAGGAGGAAACAGGCAGGAATGAAGACTGAAGCTGTTCCACAGTACAAAACGGCCGTTTTCCCTACAGCTATTTCCTAGCCATGCAGTGACCACAAATTAGTATTAATTCCAGTCCTGGGATGCAGGAGCCCAACCATCACAAACAGTGGCCTGTGGCTGCTCGTACGGAACGGCTCTGTTCTACGTAGGCCGACCGGGTCCCAGCTGCTCAATTTGCCGGACCGTCTGGCACAGCGCAACTCCCTGGCTAGTATGGCCCAGCCACTTCAGGGCAGGTAGTGGGGGTGAGAGAACTGGAGGAAGTCAACATCACACGAGCTCAGACCGAGGGGGAGGAAAACGTTGTTGGGCCGACATACATGAGGCACAGTTCTCGAATGTCCCGTCAGTTTCAAGTATATGTCATCGTCGTCGTCTATTTTTCTTCTGTGTGTAAAGCCTTTCAGAAAGACAAAGCGCGTGGTCCCGCCACCCCCTCTATCCTCACAACTGTTCTGGGAGGTAGGCTAGGCTGGCCGTGCACGTCGCAGCTGGACCCAACCATCAGCCCTTCTTCCTCCGGCATGTGCACTGCGCAACTGGAGTGGAGTCTGTGAGCAACGAGGGTTTGTTTTTGCTTCTTGAGCTTAACGAAAAAGAGCAATGTTACATACTTCAGAGAGCTTCAGGCACTGTTTTGCTGATGTACACCCTGGATTACCGTGTAAGGTAAGCTGCCCAGAGAGCCTCATGGCTATGGAACGTGACATACAAGTGCAGCAAATGCAAATACAAACAAACAAACAAACAGCATAAAGAAATAGCACTGCAAAGATTGCAGCCCATGCAAGGATTAAAATTTCTTTCACCAGCATTAATCATCTTCAAATTAAAAGGACGCGCGAAACACCGCTGCGTCGATTTAGCTTCATGGCCCATTATAATGTGAAATCTAACCTCAAATGCTTACGAGCTGAATGAAGCCAAAATAACCCTCCCCAAACTGAAGCACTCCCCGTCCGGGCAACATTATTCCACCACGAGGAGAGGGGCTAGTTCCAACATGTACGGAAGCACTCATAACATTGTTATATGCAGCTTGCATTCTGAGAAGTTATTTTCCATCACCATGCGGGATCATAACCAAAACACCATGGTCCATTTCATACCTAGATCAAGCGGGGTCTTGATTATAAAACAAGAAGGAAGGAAGGAAGGAAGGAAGGAAGGAGGCACAAAAAGCAACTCTTAGACTGGAGGACAGACAAGAGGCCAAGAATCCGACCATGCAACCCCAGCCATTCAGGAGACCCCAGAATTCACCTTCACACAAGCTGCTTTTACACTGCGCTGGTCTGCAACAGCCAAACTATGGCCAACACGGACAGCTGAATTCCAAGGCAACACAGAAATGTCAGCGTGCGGCAACGGCGGCAGATTTGCCACACGGGGAACAGCCTGCACCTGCACCCCCTTCGCCTCGGCTTCTGGCTCAGGGCCTTTTGCAGTCAAGGCTTTCCGAATACAAGGAAGCCTGGCTTGGTTAAAACAAAAGCAAAGCAAAGCAAAGCAAAGCTAAACAGCACACCAGGATTAGATCAGATTCTGTGCTACCGTTTCACAAACCATCATTTCCTACATGGGATAAATGGGAGATTGTAGTTTGTCTGAGTCTGATTTAAATCTCCTCCACATACACAGTGGGGGAGGATGGGGAGCATGTGGGCCTGAGGCTTGCTGGGATACACTCTCATTAGTAGGTAATACCCACTAATGGGCTGCTCTCACTGGAAGGATCCACCACTTTCACAAGGGGAAACTAGTAGGTTCTGAAGCATATGAAGCAAGCAAGCAAGCCCAAACGCTCCTTTCCAGAACGGGACGGATCAGCACAGCTTGCAGAAGGGAGCTCATGAGCATTTCCGCAAATGTCTGGGGATATGTTAGGAAGCATTATGTAGCCTGATGCTTCCATGCAGCCTGAAGTGCCTGATCCTGCCTCAACTTGGAAGCTAAGCAGGGTCAGGCCTGGGCAGAAGTGGGATGGGCGACTTGAGTGTATGATTTTATGATTATTGCTGTCAACTGCCTAGAGAGCTTTGGCTATGGGCAGTATAAAAATGTAATAATAATAATTATTATTATTAGTAGTAGTAGGTCCTGCGGTCGTAACCAAAACAACAGAAGAGCAGTAGCATTACTGTAGCCTGCCGGACAACTCCTATTACTCCTGCCCGATGTGAAGCATAAAGCCTCCATTTTCGAAAAGGCGACAGTTTATATCTTATTCGAAACTGAAATGTGCCTGTGATGTGGGAAGCTGCATGCTGAATGCACCCTGAGTTCCAACAAGCAGTGACACCCTGCCCACTATTTTTCAATACCCCTTAAAATTTCCCTCTGAACTACCCACAAACGAGCATACCTGTCCCTTGGAGAGAGTTACTCCAAATGCACAAAAATTCAACGTGTGGACAAAGTGTTCACATTAATTTATGCATTCTGAGATGCCCAAGAATCAACAAGAATCTCTCCTGCTTGCACAAAGTTATTTGCAAAACCACAAAAACAAAGCAGGTCTAACGTTAATTTAAGCACTGTTCTGTAAGGAGAACCATGAAGCTGCACTAAGCCAGCCAAGATGGGCCCATCTAGATAAACACAGTATTTCCCACAGAGGTCTGCCAGACATCACAAGAAGTAACCCACAAGCAGAATAACCCTGTGGAACGTAGGAGCTTCCTCTCACGACGACGTCACTAAGCCCAATGCCTCCGACCCTTGGAAGTCCGATGCTGCCACTGTGGGAAGACTGGGTGCTTCGCTTTCAAGGTATACTTTGCTATCGGAACTGTGCTTTGCTGAATTTCAGATCCACCGGCACTTGCATGCAATGGAAACAGCAACAGCTTCTCAGATGTCTGCATAACACTCCTGCCTTCGATGAGGCGAACATTCAGCAACTGAGCCATGAGCCAGGCACTTTTACAAAACGCTGAGGACTGCAGAAACATTAAGGGAGCATAAATAAATAGCTAAGGTAAGATGAACCATAGCAAAAATAATGAGGAAAGTGAACTGAAGAGGCTCTTTCATTTCTAAACATGCAAGAAGAGGGAACTGGAAGTCTGAAGCAGGTCCAGCACAAACAGGCCATCGTTGCTGCACTGAGGGGCCGAGTCAAAGTCCTTGTTAAGAACAGCAAGCCTCTTTCATGAGCAGGCACCCCTGTCTGCGCACGGACCCTGGGCTCTGAATCCAGGTGGCCCTCACAGGAACCACAGACAGCGCACCATCCCTGCCGTACCTTTGCTAAAGAAAAGGTGGCGACACCAGCGGACAAGGAAATAGAATACATTAAGCCTGAAGCCAAGCAACTCTATGCCTGGACTATGGGAGTCCTCAACTCGTCCCCCTTCCCACAATCAAGCCAATGCATGCTTCCCAAGTTCAAGAAAATAGACTAGTCTCTACCATGACAAAACAGCAACAATTACAATCCCTAAGACGACAATCCTTGGGTTGTCTCCTTCAGATGCCATTAGACATTATTAACTATCTGCTGCCAAAGCAGTAAAATTGGACTTTTATTCCACTGTGTTAGCGAAAAACACTAAAACAGGCCAAGCTTGACCGATTAAAAAACTGCATCCATTTTGGAGATTTTCATTAAAGATCCAAATGTCTAGCACTACCCCTTGAGAAGTTTGAATGATGCTCACAAGGTGACCTTTGAGTGCTTCGTCTCACCCCTGAAAATCACTGAGCAAGAGCGTCTGCTCTCCACCAAACGTGAGCCCTTTCGTACAACCAAATGTCCTTCCATGGATGACTCTGAGGCTTTCCTTTGTGTAGCTTCTGCAACACAGAAAGCCTTGGTTCGCACATACAGATAAACCGTGACCAATTCCAGACGGTGATCTATGCACAAGCAACTTCCCTCCACCTCTCACAGCATGTTAAAGAAAGCATTCTATTTCAAGCATGAAAACTTACAATTGCATCAATCCAAGTGGGGGAAATCTCTCAAACCAGCCACAATTCCATTCTGCCTCTTTGTTAAAATTGGTTCTCAGATATACTTTATACCCAGCAAGACAAACCCCTCAAAATCATACTGATCAACCTGTAAGAAAAGGATGACTAACCAGTTACTTATTCCGTTGACTTGATGGGGTGCTGTGCAGGCTTTTGGGGGCTCTGGAGACCCATTGATGGGTGTACGGGAGGGATTTTGACACACAAGTTTTCTTAAAGACTGCGCAAGGTGAGAATTCTGCAAGAGAAAAATAAAAACTCAAACTCAAATAAGTCTTGAGACACAATGAATCAGGCAACTAATTTGCTTGTCAGTCTGGAACCAGGGAGAGGAAGAGAAACAAACATGCAAAAGCAACAATTTAACCAAGCTCAAAGCAGTTTGCCATCTCAGCAGGGATAATCTAAAACCTCCTTGTGTCCCTTTCCAGCCATCAGCATTCAAAAGATTCATGAATGCCCTGCAGACACCAATTTTAAAAAGAGGTGTGTTTAAATTTCTCCACAAATGGAAGGGGCCCAGAATTTCCTTCCCTTCAGCAATGAAAGTCTCAAATAAAAATGCCTGTCTTAAAATTTAAGTAGATACTCCTCATAAGGATCCTGGAAGACCCAAATCCTACAATGCAATGATATCGCAATTCAGTCAATTTTTTAAAAACCTCTCGGGATTCCAGTTTTCACCAATATAGTTTTAACATGTTCATTATTTTCTAACATGCCACATGAGACATCCTGGGGATCAGACTCCCAAAGCACACAAACAAAAGCACAGCTGCCTCTAAGCTATGCAGCTGCAAATATCACACCAAAGCTGCCTGACAACCATCGTTCTCTAAGCATCTTTAAATTCAGGTCACCTTCAGCACCATGTTTTAGCAATTAGAGGTTTTCTACTTTTGCATCGGAGGGCAACACAGGAAGCCCGGATATCAATTTTCAGCATTTAAGAAAGCAGATCTTGTAACAGAGAAGATGCACAAACAGCTGTTTAACAGGAAATGCATACACCTCTGTATGTATTATACTGGAAAAGCTATAATCCAGGCAACAGGATTCAATGTAACCTGGTATATTTTGCATCAATGATTAATCCAGTACAGAATTCAGCAGCCTGAAGGTTTTTAATGTCTGTATTTAACTTTTTAGGGCAAAAATCCTAAACAACCGCCCTTATATAGGGCTCAACTGAAACTATTTACTTGAACGCAGACATACATTCAGCTGTAACTTTGCAGAAAAGGACTGTAAGATTCTGGAGCAGGGTGGGGTTTAAAAGGAGAGGTATCTGGTTTCTTCATAAGTCAGCATGTCAGCCAGGGCAGGATTTCCAGCTTCCATTGGAAGGGGGGCCATGCATCCTACATGGCTAGCTTCCGTAAGTTTCCCTAAGAAACACCACTCTATCCTTCTCAAAAGAAGAGGAAAGACTTCCCCAAAAACCTAAACATGCAACACTAGAAACAACAGTACAATGTATTTTGTTCAAAACATGGGACTATTCAAACAGAACAAAAAGAATGGCCTTCAGAATACAGCTCCAAACACACAGGACCGAAAACACATTATGTTGGCATTCAGCCCGGAAGAGGACCCGGGTCGAATTGCTGGGAAAATGCATCAGCCGACAGCCAGTCACTTGGACCATTTCAAGGAGTCATCTTCATGACCCTTAACGGAGTGACTCAGTCTGCAGAGTAGGGCACCCCGTTATCATGTGCTGCTCACAATGGTTTATCACACTGATGCCCTATCAAGACTCTGCCTCCTTTCAGAGGAATTTTTCGCAGGAAATGGATAGGGTGTTGCCAGGAACATGCAGCTGTATCTGTCCCACTCCATGTTCTGTGAGCACAGCTGAAAGAGGGGACACAATTCAGTCTTGTTGTGGTGTGCCCCGGGATATATGGGGAGGAGGAGGAAACAAACAACCCATGGGGAGCCCCACTGTCTCTCTCAGGGGCATCAAAGCTTGTCTGACCAAAAGCCAACCCACGACGGCTGCTTCCCAGGGTGGGCTGGTGTGATGCCCAAACGCGGCCAAAGCCTCAGACAGAGATAGCTGCTCACCACTGCTCAGCAGCTGCCTGTTCATGAGACCTTTACCAGAAAAACAGCTTTCTTCGGCACTTCTGGGTTTATTTCTAACTTTTACTGCAAGACGCAAATCACAAGACAGCTTCTTTTAGCACAAAGACATGTTGCAATCGTATCAACAAACTTCCAAGAACTGTGTAAGAACTCCTCTTTTTGCTGTGTATTCTGCGCATTTTTTTTACTCCCCTTCTGACTTTATGAGCCCTCAAGGCAACTTAAAAGAATTTCACTGAACCCAATTGTTTTAGTGGAAAAGGATGGCATATGTACTTGTATCATCTTTATTTCCAACTGGCCATGACACCTGCCCTTGAAATACTAGGCTTTTTTCCTGCCGAACTGGACTCCTTAAATTCCGAGTCTACTCTCATGGGGCACTTTGTGTTTCGCTCCTTCCCAACATAGAGCCTTCCAGAAGTGTCGCACTACAACTTCTATCATTCCCAACCTACATGGCCTGGGGATGAGGGAAGCTGTATTCCAGCACATCTTAAGCTCACCAGGTTGCGGAAGGCGGGCCAAATTCTTCACAGTGCCATCAAAAGCATGTGCTCAGTGAGCCTTTCCCCTATGTAACAGCGCAACATATTGTAGCATTTGATTTTATATTTGATGATGTCTTCAGTTACATTTGCTTTAACTTTCTATGTCAGTGACTGTCCTAATACGCACCTCCATCCTAGCTGATCAAATACCAGAACTAATGTGTCTGGCCACGGCCTCCAAACTCGAATTAGTTTCTGTCCTATTAGGCCCGTCACCTGAAGTGACAAATAGAAGCCCTCTTTATCTATGCAAGGGATAATTAGAAACAAGGTATTACATTCTTTATTCAAAAAAGTCATTGAATACGAAGAGCTTCTGGTTTAAGTTAAGCAAGAATGAAGGAGAGATAAATAGCTCCGGAGAAACTGGGGGCTTGCTGAGTAAGTGGGAAGGCAACAGAATGAGATCCTCCAGGCTGCTAGCTCATGGGCACCCCCTCCACCGTTCCCAGCAACCATCAGACATGTTGGCTGGGAAATCAAAAGAAAAAAGAAGAAATGGAAGAAAAAATGACTAGCAAGAAATAGCTCAGAGAAGATACAGTAACAGGAAAGAACATCTTTAAAAATAACGTGTCAAGAGCTATGGGAGAATACTAACCTCTCTCCAAAAAGCTAGTGTGAGTGCAGTTTTGAAGGAAGGGTTTTACACCCTGGTTAAAATCCCAGAAGAGACTCAAATTTACCAGCTGGCTTTGGATGACTGACCATACCTCAACCTCGGTTCCCCACTTGCAAAATCAGGGAAAGAGACACCAAAGCAGTAGAGAAGGAGACATTTCAAATGCTCATCCTTAGTATTAAGTAAAGTGTCAAATCTTTAAAATATATCATTAGGAAAGGCTTTGCAAAGAGAAAATTAGAGTTTGTTTATGATTGCTCTCGTAAGACAAGCAGCAGTCTCCCAGGTAACGAACACGGGAGGTTCAGGCAGCCCCTCTGACAGTATGCACACTGCATATCTCTACAGAAATCTCCTGGGATGCAAATCACCAGGAACGTCACTTGTGCACGCCCAATGATACCCACTGGATTAGATGTCAAATCAGTTATCAGGTGCAAAATATATGCCAAGATACTATCTGTATTTAATCAGCGAAATAACAGAAAGCAAGAGAAGCCAGCTGGCATGAAAAGCAGTGAGCAGGAACAGGGTATGTAACAAGTCATTTCAAAAATTTATCTAGGGCTTGGAGGAAAATGTAATTTCTGAGATTTCTGAAACTAGCCAATGTTTACTTATTGTTTAGACAAGGGGTGAAGAACTTATGGCCTGCGAGGCTGATGACATCCCTCTGCTGCCACCTCTGAGGTTTGCAGCAGCAGAAAATTTGGCAGTTTACTGCCATATTTTGGTAGCAGGCTGTCATGGAGGGTTAAAAAAAACCCTCTGGCTTGAAAACAAGCTAAACTTGTCCTTTTTAACCCTCCATATCATTTAGCCACTTCAATTTGGCAGCATACTGATTTTTCTGTCAAATTCAGCAAAGAAGTGACAGGACCGCAGCCTTTAGAAGGCCTGAAAAGTGGTCACAGAGCTGCTGAAGCCGCCCACACCTCGCTTAGACATGAGGCCCTTAGTATTTACATTGCTTTTCACCCCATTTTCTGGGCAGCCAGCAATGAAATTCATGGGACTTTCTGAGCGCCAAGTCAAGACGATGCCGATTTTATGAACCAGACATCTCCCTTTCGGTGGGGGATCAGCGCCGCTCACTGCAACCAAAGCATATGCTTTCCCTGTACACTGACCTGCTTCTCTGCATTCTGCAGGAGGTAGGAGGGGATGCAAGGGGACAAGTCACACTGCCGGCCTCCTGGAGGCACCTTCAGGTGGGAGGAAGACGGCGGCAGCCCTTTGTTCTTCCTGGAGTTCACTGCTGCTGTGGAGCCTAGTCGAACCTGCTGTTTCATCACACCCTCATGCTGGAGATCACCCAGGACTACTGGGCCCTAAGGAATAAAATAGTCATTTTATGATATTCATGAAGCTTGTATGAACGACCTAAAGCACAGAAAGCAGCTAAGACATTTATCCAAAATGGAAACATAAAGGTAGCGGAGTACTTTTGTTGGCTAATTAGAATTTGTTAACTATAATAATTTTCAAGACAGTGCTTTTATTTTTACAAATTCAAGAAAGCTGCATCGCAATACGAATCACAAAAGCATTGTTACAGCTTCAGTCAGGAAAGATTGGGCAACCACATCTGGGGAATTACAGGGGTGGAGCCGGCTGGAGCCAGGAGCCAGATTAGATGGCCTGGGAGGTCACTTCTGACTCTCTTTGTGTCTATGTTTAATTCACATTTCCTCAATGTGCCCTACGACACACATCAAAAAACTGTCAGTCTTTGGGATTCGGAAACACCATTCCAACAGTTATGGAATAGTTAAAAATACTATGGGAAAAAGAGACTAAGAAAAGCAACCCTAACCTTACTGAAACTCTGCAGAATGTTAACACAACCATGGTAAAACAACCACAACAAAAAAGGGACACGGACACACACACACACACACACACACAGAGTTTTTACAACGTAACTGGCTGGCTAATAATTCTCACAAGAATTTAAAACAGATTGCTCTAATTTGCTAATTTTCAGAAGTGAGGGGAACAGCTTTGCAATCCCCTGATGTTGCCCTGGAAGAGCTACATCACTCTGCTCCACATATGCACAACCCTTTCACATAGTTTCTACTAGAACACAACAGGTCACTAAAAATGTTTCTGGAGCAAATCCACAGGAAAAAGAAGGCTCTTGACTGACAGAGGGTCAAGCCAATGAGATTTGCAACGCTATCTTGGCGATTCCTACGAGCTGCCCCTTCTACAAGCAGCTGTCCTGATTCAGCACAAGTATGTTTCCAATTTTGCAGAAATAAGAAAAAAAGCAGAAGCAAAGGGAAAGGGAAAGGCAAGTTGCCAAGCGAGCCATTGATAGGGTTAAAGCAGAAAAGCAGGGTCAAGTGTATTAACAAGGCACGTAAGGCATCCGTGTTCTGCAGGAACCACACAGAAGAACTGAACTATGTTCTACGGCCCTAAGTCAAGCCTTCCAGAGATGGCAACAGGACTACTGCAAGCATAAAAACTGAAAGCGCACGCAGGATTTCAGAGAGGATAAGGATTTGGCCTTCCAGAGGTCACTGGGGCGTTTGTGCGTGGGCTCTGGGCCAGCATGAGGCCTTTCCTGAGACATTTCCCTTGCTGAGGAGCTTTGGTGTTCATTCCAATCAGAGATGGGTGGATGGGGTTGACGGTATCGGTTCCTGTGGCTGCCAGCACCTGGTCTTTGAATGCAGGGATCCCACAGAGCTTGGTGGGTGCCCTCCGTACTAAACAGTGAAGACCAGAAGCCCATCTCTGTATCCTGGAGCAGGACCTCCTCCTCTATTTTTTCTTACTGAAGTTGCCCGAAACCAGCAGGGAACTGCCATCGGGGAGTCCAAATGCAGTGATGGAAGCAGCAATGACAGACGCTGACATCCGATCAGCCACCGTGCAAACAGAACGCTGGACTAGACGGACCTTTGGTCGGATCCGGCAGGTTTCTGATGTTATTAAGCACGTTTTGAATTCTGAAAAAGGGGCCCCGCAGTCGAGCAGAGGGGAGGTTTTTATTCACTTAAGCTCTCTCCCTTCTGACATCCTCTTTCCCTTAACCTTCCGTAAGTATGTTTACCAACAGCAGGCTACCTACAGATCGGTAAACTTCCTGCACATTTGTTTAGTGTGACCCATCCTGCAGCCAACGGATGCCCTTAAGCCAGCTCCTGAAGGAGCCAAATTCCCTCCACATGACTCTTTCCCTCAAGAGAAGCGTCCAGTGGTTCCAGATTGCCTGCTTCTAACCCCCAACATGGAACCTCTGTGCATTAAGTCCTATGCAGAGCCCAGCATAACAACAGATTTGGTTGGTTTAAAATTATACTGTTACACCAAGTACTGCAGAGAGTGCCACGGTGTGGGTCCTAACTTACGCGACACAGTCCCTGCGTCATGGTCATCACGCTTCTGAAAACGAGATAAAGCCAATCTGCGAATGAAACCTATAGTGAATAGCTATAATGTTGTGCTCTGTAACGGCAACAACTGCCCTGTGAGCTGCCAGTAACACGAGGGCATTTATGTCTAGGTTGCTCTCCTTTTGGGGCTATCAAACGGGGACTTTGCAGAGGCTGAAACGCACTCCCAAGCCCAACCTGGAAGCACTTAATGTTACTCTCCAAGCAAGACTGCTCCTGAGCAAAAAGAGACTGCGGAGGCGGTTCAGCAACAGGAGAAGGTCCGTCAGAGGAGAGGCCGGTGAGCCAATCTGAGGATGAAGAGGCGCAATCAATTTGAGACCCACCTGGTCTGGCAAGCTCTGTTACAGACTCTGCACAGGACTGCCTTTGCACCTGGCTCAGAAGCTGCAGCTCTGCAGAACTGTACCAGCTAAAGTGTTCCATGGGACACAAAGCTAACCTTGCACAGAATTTGTGTTAGAAGAACTGCACTGGCTGTCTATTAACTACTAATCCATTTTCAAGGTTACGCTGCTGCCATTTAACGATCGGAACAACTGAGACCAGGATATTTTCCTTGATATACCCTGCTGACCTCTGAGATGTGAAGGCATTGCTTCATGACCGCCAGGATGCCACCACGTCACATCCCAAAGGTGGGCCTTCTCATTCGCAGCAGCCTCCCTTGGAAAAATCTCCCCCATGCAGTTTGGAAAGCAGAAAATATGGCATGTTTCAAGCACCTCTGGAAGAAACTTTTTTATACCAGGCCTTCTCTGGTTTGTAAATAACTGCAGCTAATTATGCACTGATTCATATTACGGCTCCTCATTCTGTTGTCTTAATTTAAATTGTTGTAATATTGTATTTTAAATGCATTTGTATTGTTAGTGTAACTGAAAGTTTTATAGTCTTTTAACAGTGTGTTTGAATGTATATCCATATTTATATGCTAACCGCTTAGAGATAATTTATATTAAGTAGTCTGTAAGTATTATTAATAAAATAAAAATGCAGATGATACTCAGTTTTAATTTCCATTTCATCTAATCCAAGAGTGACGGTGAAGGAACTTTATACTGCATTTTAGCACAAACTATGAACTGTTTATTTCATTTTAGTTGTGAACTGTCCAGAGCACTTCAGCCGTTGTGAGCTATAGGAAACAAGCAAGCAAGCAAACTGAACTGGTACCTGAGCGGGGCAACTGACTGGATGAAGACCAATAAGTCCAGGCAACAGAGTGGTATTGCTCATCTGCCTAGCTGACTGGAATTCCAGCATCCCCCCCAACAGTTGAGCTGTGCAACTTGCGCGCAGCTGTCCTTGGCACTAGGGTGACAGGCCAGCTGCAACTCCATCCGGACAGAGATAGTCTGGTGACAATTAACAATACTCTGCTAACCTTCTAGTACTGGAATACTGTGATGCCTTCTGTATAGACCTACGTTTTAAAGGGACTTGGAAACTTCAACACAGAACTGCTAGACTATTGATTGGTATGGGATTGCATGGTCAAAAGGACCATGCAATCCCAGGGTCTGGACAACCGCACTGGATTCTAGTACATTTCTGGGTTCAATTCACTATGTTCATGTTGACCTTTAAGTGTCATTCCAAACGTACAGACCAGAGCAAGCCCTCAGGTCGCCTTCAGGGCTCCTCCTCAAGGCGCTCTGCCAGGAGAAGTGCGCAGCTGGCTGCAAGAGAGGTGCTTCTCGGCACTCTGCCCATCGAACACTCTCCTAAAAGAGGCTCACCTGGGCTCACGCTTCTCATCCGGGTAAGAGGTGAAGGCCTTTCGTTTTCACAAGGCACTTTACAATTTCATTTGTATATTTTATAGCTGTTTTACATATTTGATCTTCATTCCTGAGCTGATTTTTGTTTTCCATTGTACTTTCTGCTTGCGCAAACAGATTTATTAACTAAACGTCAGCTGGGGAAACAGAAAGACTGCTGAAATGAATGGGGCTGCCTACCTTGTTGGCACGGAGTTGCTTGTAAACATCTGTCTGCTGCCTGATGCGGTATTCCAGGTCTGAAACCTGAGCCTGCAGCCATGTCCACCGACAGATAATGGCTGCCCTCTCCATCGCCCACTGGCGCTCTGCGAGGTGCCGTCTGTAAAGCAAGCATGCGCATATTGTCAGTGCCACTTTCTCGCACTCCAGTTTGATTGTCTCTGTCAACATAAATCCAAGCGTTCAGCTATACATAAGAAGTCAGTCCTTCTGAAAGGGAAGCTCCAACTGTGCTCTCAGGCCACCTAACAAATCACATTCCCAGCCACATTTTAAAAGGTAAACAAAACCAAACCCCGCCTCCTTTGTGAAGAAAGGGAAATAAGCACTTATCACTAGTGACAGATCTTCATCTTTAACTCAGTTAAACTCTGCAGGTCACTGGGACAAGGTGTCACCTACCGTATCAGTAAAGGCAGATTAAAGGAAGGCAAGGCTATCAGCAGCTCATGCTAAAAGTGTCTCTGAGTGCAAAGGCAGCAGGCTTCCGAATGCCAGTTGTCCGCGTACATGAGGACTCGCATTCTGCTTATGAGCTACGAAAGGTTCCTGCGCCAGTGCAGGAAACAAGGAGCTGAACATGGCAGACCTTTGCTTTTGTGTTCCTGCACTTGATTAATCTTGACACATTACCCTGCCAACAAAGTAAGCTTGGTAACCGGTTATGTATGACCATTTTTAATGATAGCGGAAGATAAAGGAGGGAGAAGCTTAGGGTACTACGCAGCGCTTTACAGCCAAAATACTGAGGTCTAAGAAAAGGATCAGCCCACTGCATTACAAAAAGTTATCTCACTCCACATACAAGCGCACAGCTGCTGGTGGCAGCAATATGAAGCAGCGTTTTATTGGTACAATATAAAAGCACCCCTTTCAAAAGTGAATGACGGCCCAACAGGATGGAATGATAATGGTGACACTATGATCACGATTACCCAGCAAGACAGCTTTAAACAGAGCTTCGACAAATTCGTAAGGGTTGGTATGGAAAAAGTGAAGACGGCTCTTCCCAGCTCATGATATCAAAACAGAGGGCCACCCAAAGAAATGGACCAGAAGGAAATTTTTAGTTCCTTCATGCCAAGTATCGTTTATGCACTAGCAGTGATATAAGATGGAGATTTTCTTGAGTGTTTGGTCTTTCTGTAATTTTTTCCATTTCATAAATTTATTAGTAACAGTGAGTGGGTACCAACTACAACTACAATTATTTGGCCAGTCTGGGAGTTGATTTTTTTAACATGATAATCCCTAGCAAGCATGTAAGAAAACACATGCTACTGAAACACATGCTATGTCTTAAGGGCGAATTTATAGATTTATTACATTTTTGAACCACACATCAGTTCAAAGGCTCCCTGGGCAGTTTACAAAATCAAAATACAAGAATATAAAACAATTATTATAATATCACCACAAATTCAATAATACATTAATGCAATATTATCATAATTGTCACAGCTCAATCTATCTTAGAGGTGCAATATAAATATAAAAAGTGGGAATAAAAATAAACTATTAGAATACTGGAAAAATAACAAGGTTTTCACCTGGGACAAAAAGCGCATCAAATCGGCACTGGGTGCTCCTCTTTGGGGAGCCGATTCCACAGATGGGATGCCCCAACCAAGAAGGTCCTCCCCCTAGTGGCCACCCTCCTCGCTTCCTTTGGAGGGAGCTCTTTGAGAAGGGCCTCCACTGATGATCGCTGTTTGTGTAGGCACATGCAGGAGGAGGCATCCCTTCAGATCACCTGGCCCCAAACCAGTTCCGGCTTTAAATGTCAATGCCAGCACTTTGGATCTGTCCTGAACTTCAACTGGCGACCAGTGTAATTGGCAGAGCGCCGGCATAATGTGTTCGTCTTCGTGCTGACCAGCCCGTCAGCCACCTAGCTGCTCTGCCGTAAACCAACTGCAGCCTCCGGTCCATTGACAAAGGCAACCCCACGCAGAGCGTGTCACAGTGATCCAAACGAGGGGTCACCAGAGCATGGACCGCTGCTGCAAGGCTCTGCCTGTCCAGGCGGGAGTGTAGCTGGCAAGTGAAGGTGCTCCTCGTCACCGAGTCGACCTGTGACCGCAGTAGTAATTCAGGATCTAGAAGCACCCCAGACCTTGTCCTTTAGGGGTCTGCAACCCTCTCAAGGACTGACTGAATACTTCCCAGCTGGACAGAAGACCCACCCGGCAGCAGTATCTTGTCTTGCCCGGACGGAGCTGCAGCTTGCTGGCCCTCAACCAGTCCGTTACCAGGCCCAAGCACCAATTTAGAGCAGTCACTGCCTCACAGGCTAGGAGAAGCACGAGAGCAACGGCCACCGTGACACGCCCTCTACTCAGCAAGATGTCCATCACCCTCCGGTTTCAGAGGGCTCTCGGCCTCCAGGCTGGACTGCACCTTAGCTACGCTTCTCCCTTCCCCCCATCTTAGCTCCAATATTTGTGACGCGCCAAGTCAAAAACCATCATGCATTATTTCTTCCCACCCACCCCAGCTTTGCTGTTTACTAAATGCCAGTAACACAAACATGCTAAACTGGATTACACTAGGGCACCTGAGAATTTTCTGATGCACATTACCTTACATTGCAATTTTTCAATACAGTTTTTTGGGATGATGCCTAAGGATGGTGTTTTAAGCATTCTGGATAAAGCCCACTGAGCTGTGTCTCACTGAAACCAATATTTCCTAACAATTTCCTTGTTTTTCTTTTCTGGACCGGAATAGAAATCAAAACAAAAACCTAATTAATGCAAACATCTGAACCCTTTCCCCCAGAATTTAGCTAACATTTAGTAGAGGACCAGTGTTCAGTGGCAACGCACATATCCTGCAGGCAGAACAAACCGTGTTCAGTCAGTTCCACTCAGAAGAAAGCAACATTCCTATTTTTTCGGAAAGACAGACATGGTTTCTTTGTTGTTGGTAAACCCTGAAATCCTTCTGTCTTTTTGCACTAATGGATAGATTGTCCTAAAATCAAGTACTGTCAAATAGGCTTAATGGAAATTCAAACCAAGCAGCTTGCACACAAGTTTCCCACGCAAAATACCCAGGAAACCTCACAGATTACTACCTCTGGTATGTGCACAGGTAACCAGGAATGCTATGCAGGAAAGGAATCTGCGGACTTCTCAGTCTTTCGCACCTCAATGCAGGGTATTAAGGAAGCAGAGTGTCCTACATACAGCACAACACAAAGTAAACAAACAAATAACACTACCTGATCACCCCAGTAGCAGCAGCGCTAGCCCTGGGCGGTAACAAACAGACATCAAATCTCCAGTATCACCAGCCTTTCTTTAACTTGTCCAGAATGTAACTTAACCCTTTTATGTCTACTCAGAAGTAAGCCAAGTCCCGCTGCATTCAATAAGGTTTACTCCTAGGTTAAAAAAACAAAAGTACAGCACTGCAACCTAAGCTATGAGATTTAAAAGACATGCTGGACTCAAAAACAAAACCACAAAACAAGGCAATAGATACACTAATTCTGCATGGCCATCTAAATGCTATTAATGTTTCTAGACATCACTCCTCAGTGAACGCTAACATAAATTCCAGCTTAAAATAAACAAACCTTTTCACTTTCAGCAATGACTTATACCTGTACAAAAAAACTCACCACAGATCACAACATCATCTACACTGAAGAACAAACAAACTTATCCTAAAATAAAGCAACCCAGAAATATATTTTAGAACATTTAGAATATTTTCTTTTTTTACTAGATTGACAACCTAGATAAAGATCTGGAGAAAAAATGACCGGTTGGATGTCTTGAATTATATGAACTATGATATATAAACAATTTCATTAGTGCCGTTTATGACACATTTGTCCTTTTGTCTTATCTGCTTTCCCTTTGTCTGCACATAGCAGATTGCTGATAAAGTTCCTGGAATTTCTATCCTACCTTTCTAAACTGTAATCAGAATGACTAACAAACATAAAACTTACAACAACAATGTAAGCAGATGTGACAACTTAAAGTGACACTAACATATCCTTAAGAACAACATTTCCGTATGGCCCACATCGTGCCGCGTTTTGCTGATAACCTAAAAGCAAGCAGCAGAGCCAGGCACAACGCTGCAATGAGACTGTCCAAACATCGGGGTATCAGAACTGGAAAGACCCACTTCCTGCACATCAGATAATGTGGGGATTAAGGGGTTCTAAGCTGAAACACGACTTCCTGGGCAGAACAACACGTGAAGTGATTTTCCTGGACTCGTTAATTTTAGACTTTAAGGGCAACACTGAACCCAGAAGCATATGGTAACCAGCACAACTGGTAAAGGACCAGTGTGGTGTCATTATGCTGGGGGGGGCAGGGGGGAGACAAGGTGGTATCGGAGGGGATACACTGACAACTTGCTTATAATGCCAGGCTCCTTTCAAGTCGTAGCCTCATCACAGCACACCTGCCTTGCCTACAGAAGGCCCCACGTTCCATCCTTGGCACTTCCAGTTAAAAGGATCAAGCGGTGAGAGAACGGGGGAGATCTGCCTATCACCCTGGAAGCCGGGACCAATCAGAGCTGGATGAACTGGGTCAGGTGAACATATAACCTGAAGGGGCATCAGGCAGATCCATTTGCTCTGTAGGGACTCGTTTTAGTTGTGTCCTTGTGGTCAGAATCAATCATCATATGCTAGTCCCGCTTCAGATGAGTCCTCTGGTCCACTGAAAAGTGAGGCTTGAAAAAAAATTAGGATCGCACAAAAGTCGAACCAGTGCGTGTGACACAGTGCTGGAAGCAGTGATGAAAAGCCAACCAAGGCAAGACCTTCTTAACAAGGGGCGGTTTTGCATTCAGAAGATTACACAACAATGCGTAAAAGAGCGAGGTCTGATCCTCACAGCTGTCCTTCCAGCGGCAGGCAAAAGCAGAGTGGTGCAGCGATTCGAGCACCAGACCCCAACTTGGAGGGCTCGGTTTCTAGGGCACCCTTAGCCACCCGTGACTTCGCGTCAGTTGCTGCCTCTCTGTCCAACCTCTGTCCAACCTCACAGGCGCATCGCTGGGATAAAACGGTGGGTGGGGGATTATGCCACTTGCCTTGGGTTCCTTGCAGGAGGTAAAACGCAA